AGTTTAAAAAAAGGAAGGTTTTGAGATGTTATTTGACAATGTGCCAAGAGTCTAACTTAAAATTCATTTCCCCTTTCCCATAAGGCTCTATCACTCTAGTTTGAACCTTTTACAGAACCAAAACGTGTGCAACCTGTAGATTCACTTCCTCCTAATATTTCCATTCATGTTCCATTCACCATTTGTGCTCAGTGTTCCTCATCTCAGTGTTTGATTTCCTGTTTTCAAAGTGACCATATTAGGGAAAGGTTGAGAAGCTTAGCACCTTGTTTACATTTACGGCCTCTCGCTCAAGGATACTGTGGCGTAAGCAGCACCAGGAGATAAGCAGAGGGACAGGAGACATGACGCTGCAAGAATCTTAATATCATGTTTTTAGACTCGGGTTTGGAATGAAATGACTGCACTGGGCTTCACTGAGAACTCGTCCAGAACTTAATTTCATATAACTGGGATTAGGAGAATAGATGGGGGCGACACGGCCAATACCAAGAAGGTCCTTACATTGGTACATTGGGTCTACGATGAATTCCCATTCAAATAACAAACATGAAAGTCAATTGGCTCACTAAATTCTATTGATTGTTTTTGTGGCTTTCACGTTTTCCTACTTTTTAATCCTTCTGCTGTGTACTGTCACAATGCGTCTGTTCGAATATGCCTGTTGTTATTGACTACTCCCAAGTGCAGATTATAGAAGAGTTTCTGGGTTTAACTCAATCTAATGACCTGAAACAGTACAGAAACATTAACGAAGTCGTTCAGAAAGCTCGTCAGCGTCTCTACTTTCTGCAGAAACTTCCTGCTTCACTTTTATCGCTACACCATTGAAAGTTTCCTTGTTGGTTCTGTGACTGTGTGGTTTGGTGACATCACAACCAAAGACAGGAGATGTCTCAAACCAAAACCACAAGATGCTCCACTCTGAAAGAGGACTGTGAGCTGCTTGTTCTGGAGGTTCTTAATGAATCCAGACTTTTAAACCAATCTCTTAGAATAATGAATCTTGAGTCTTCTGGCCCCTGGAAAAGCCATGTTCCAGAAGCTTCCCTCTGGTTGAAGATATTGTTTGTTTGTACTTTAAACCTTGTTTTATTTATGTACTTGTCTTGTGCACACAGGGGGCTTTTGCAAATGTCTTCCAATGTGGTTTTACTGCAAATGGCAAATAAATTGAATCTGAATCTGATAAGTCTCCAGGAAATGGTTTTATATTCAGGAGGTTTTAAGATGGCACCCGAACGCAAATACAACACCATGTTTATTCACTTTTTTATACTTAATTTTTACTCTCATCAATCCTCAAGTGTTGGGACTTTCTACTGCTACTACTACTACATGCTTCAAACCTGCTGCTCGAAACACTATCCTGTCATGACAAATCTACATTTCTCTATCTATCAGATTCTCCCTCAGCCGTCCTTGCCTGTCAGCGAATAACGTCTCTACTTCTAATTCTGATCCATGCAGTGCAGAAACCCCAATGCTGCGTGCACACTTGCATGAAAATCAAACCCTCTTCCTCTTGTGTTGCATCACCTCTGGGACTGTGACTTGGTTCTGCACGGTAGGAAGCGCTGCCTCCTGCTGAGAGAGATTGCGGTCTGGCAGGAGTTGAATGGAAGACCCCCATAAGCACTCTCATGCTTATGTGGGTGGGTATTTATCAAAATTGGGGACTCAAATCTGCATTTTCTCTATTCGCACGGAACCTCCTTTTTGTATTGACCAAAATCAACTCCCACGTGACTGTTTTGTGTGATCAACGGCATGATTTCAAAATGCCATATTACACCAAATTGACTTCAGAAGTGCGGTTAAGCGTGTTATAATCAGTTATATTTTCCTCCCCTCATTTTCCCGCAGTATGTTATGAGTGGTTCATGCATGTTGGAAGATGTTGCATTCTCCTGCAGTCATGGCGCCATTGCTCTGATGATCCCTGTTTACTGTCCACGCCATAGAGAGGATTCTCCAGTGTCACTCTAGTGTTTTAGTGAGATTTAATGAAGGAAACACTCTATCAGCTCTTCGATTATACGTCCAATTTATACTGGATTTATAAACTGGACATATAATTTATTTAGACACCAGTCGTCTCTGACTTTATTGAATTGTCCATTCGCCAACAACCTAGAATCAATTAAATTTATACAAACGCAGGAAATGCAAAAAAATTAAACAAAAATTGATCTTTAGGGTAGACTGAGGACCAATATCCCTAATGTTTATAAATGTCCTGGGTCTACAGTTGCAAATTATTATAAGTTGTGAAAGCGAGATCAGGTGGGCAGGGCCTGGTTAGTACTGTGATGGGAGACCTCTGAGAACACCAGGTGCCACTGTTGTTGTGTCCTTATGCAAGACACTTCACCCACATTTGGTGTGTGTGTGTGGGTGTGAATGTTTGATGTTGGTCAGAGGGTTCAATGGCACGTACTGGTTGCCTCGCTTCTGTCAGTGTGCCCCTTGGCAGCTGTGGCTTCAGTAGTAGTTTATCACCACTGTGTATAGAGTGAATGAATAATGACACGTGAAGCAAAAAAGCACTTTTGCAAAACTATTGCATTATTATAAAAAAAACAGCAGATTTGTTCATTTTAATTTCAATACTGAGATTTTTAAATATATAACAATGATCCATATTCTTGACATAGAAGATGAGGCACACCATTTGGTTATAATCTACAGATACAAATACATTATAACTGCACAAACATGCTTACGATCAGTATCGAGGAAAAGTAATGTTTGTGTAAAGTGCCTAAAGCAAATCCCAACATGCGTGTTTGGGTGTGTATGTGCGCGCCTGATTAGATACGCTTTCCCCCCACACATCTCCACAATGATGAGGCCTATACCTGTGTAATTATGTTATCCATGCATATTACTCTTTAAATCACCCACAGAGACACAGCTGTACAGCCAAAACAGCCACCTATACACATACCACTGCCGCTGACAGCTGCCTCTTCACTGGGAGTCATTTAATTGTTGCCTCCTGGTAGTACGTATATAGTGGGAAAATTATGGGTTAATGTTGTTGTTGGACATGATAAAATCTTCAATCCACTTTGCTTTTTTATCATTCACTCGAGAACTCCACCGTTTTGGCCTCAAGACAAAGATTCTAGATGTGCCCCAAAACGTCTCAAAGGACTCTATGATCATTACCTTTAGCGTTAGCATTAGTTTTGTCTGTATTCTCTGCCTGTATACTTGACTAATCTCTCTGTCTACTCGCTTTCTTCTTCTTCTTCTTATCGTCCTCATCGTCTTCATCGTTGCCTTTGTGTCTGGAGCTGAAGGGTGGTGTATGCATTTTTCTCTTTGTCTTAATTCTTTCTTATCTTGTTCACTCAGCTTCTTGACTTCTTTTAATCTATACGTTAGCTCTTTCAAATTGATCTTAGGGATTTCTGACATTACAAAAAAAAGTAAATGAAATGTTCAAATGTGCAATGATTCACAATATTTAACTGTGACTATAGCAGATGAAGCACAAACGGCGCCCCTGCAACTTTTCACACCACTTCAGCAGTAGTGATTGGATTCGCTTTATAGTGTATTCAACTCTTACAGACAAAGGAAATGCATTTGAACAACACACTTGGAGTCCAGTCCAGTGTTTGCCTGCAGTCGGAGTGACTCACACTGTGACCAGTGACCAGTTATTTTAGTCCACAGCAGAGACAGTCACAGACACATGAAACAGCCCTGTTCCCCCGCGCTGTGCTTCCCAGACACCGATTGGTCGCACGTCGTGTACTGGGGCTTGTGTTGTGTATGCGTGGGTGTGTGTACTTGTGTTGTGTGTGTGCGCGCATGTACTTGTGTGCAGTTGTGCGTGGAAGCAGCTGTTCCCCAAGGCTCTGGGATCAAGTCTCTGTCTCGCATCCTTTTTCCACCACATGTTGCATTGGTGGGAGGCTGTCCGACAACTGTCTGAGGGAGATGGACAAGGCGCAGAGGGCGACTAAGCACCAGGGATACATCATTTAGGATCAGTTCAATGCAGGAAAAGTTATACCTAAATCTCTACACACATTTTAATTAAACACAGCCTCGTTACTGTCTTCCTCTCTGAATGTAGTTCAATGTGCTTGATAAAAGGTGGTTGTACGCATTTTTTACTTGTTTTTGAAATTCAATATACAGCTTGAGCCCAAGCAGATGCTTAACCCTAATAGATGTTGCAAATTTCTGCCAAATATGAAAGTCCGATGATGAGATAAAGACATATACTGTCTATCCGTGGCTCCGTTCTTTCTCCAAAACTAACATCAGTTCCTAACGTGTTTCTGCCACATGATTGTGTGTCAAAGATTGGGTAAAGTAGAAATCTTTCATGTTTGGCACAGCCCTATAAAAGCTGTTTGTTATCATTAAGTAATTCAATTGTTGAATTTTCAATTTGACCGTTCACTTCCTTAGGGCAGGTAGAAAGAGCATCTGGGGCAGACTGACAGAAGTGAGGCAACCAGTGTGCACGCCCTGGACTCACTGGGCAATCTGGATTAAGTTTCTCTCCTAAAACAGCTGTTTGTTCCTTTACAGCGGCAGTCCCCTCACTGTAATCATAAGACTATCTGTCTTATGATTACAGTGAGGGGACTGCCTCTGTACTTTTTAGGGACATGACTCCCTGCAAATGGTTCAATATTGCAGTATTTCCATTACATTTCCCGTAATGAGGAAGTGGTGAAGAACGCACACAGATGGGTGTTTGTCCTTCCCAGGTCACTAGTGCACAGATTACTGTCTACACGTGCTCGGTCTCAGGCCTTGTTTCTTTTATTGATTGTCACAGATTGGACCGAATGTAGGCGGCAGTGACCTTGGGTGTATGAATGCGAGTGGACAGCCTGTTTGTATGTTGTTCAAATGATTCAAAGGTTATTTTTCGGACATAACTGTGATCAAACATGTTTTTAGGAAGCGTAAGGTCTTTTTAAACACACAATGTAAAACAAATGTCATGTGTATTTTTTGTGTCCCAGGTCTGCTCATGGGGGCGGGCAAAAGCAAGCCGAAGGAGCCGGGGCAGAGGTCCATGAGTCTGGACGGCACCATCGGCACCGGCTCGGACAGCGGACATTTCCACCACCTGGGCCCAGCCAAGCAGACGCAGACCCCCAACCGGAGCCCTGCGGTGGGTACGGGCCGGCGGGGACACCAGGGGCAAAACCAGCATGTTCCCACCAACACCCCGGAACTTGCCCTGTTCGGAGGAGTGGACCACACAGGCACCATCACCTCACCACACCGGGGGCCACTGGCAGGTGAGGAGGAAAACCTTTTATAGGCCACGTTATACTAGTTCAAGAAAGTTTAATAATATATATATGTTTTTAAATAGTTTTGTGTTAATGTGGAGAATTCTGACAAAATAAAATGAATGTTTAAACAGCTGCAACATTTATTCATTTAGCACACTTTGTAGATCAAGGTCCCACATTGCACTTTACAAATTGTTGTATTTTCCATTTGCTCCACACACGGTGATGACACTCTCTAACCATCACTATTCAGTCTTATTGTAAGCTTGTGTAAGCTTTCAGTTGTACAGGGATCATTCAAAACAACAGGAAGGTTGCTCACCCATCATCTGTTCCTCAGTTAGCAGGTTTTCCCAACGTTTCGTTCTTCATTCAAAGAACTTTCTCAAGGGAACAAAAGTTCAGCCGTGAGTTCGAGATTTTTAAGCTGTGGGTGTGGTTAGACACCTCCGATCCTGAGGCTAACTCATTAACACATCTATGTCTGTTAAGATGTGGTAGGGAGCAGGTCTAACGATCCTGCTGAGTCTAACGATCCTGCTGAGTCTAACGATCCTGCTGAGTCTAACGATCCTGCTAGGCTCGTTAGACCTATCTCAGTAGCGTGTCACTGACCTGTTGTCTGCCGAGATTGCCTGATTGGAGTGCAGGTCTTATCACTTATAACTCATTAGCATGTCACTGGCCTTATTTATTGTTTTTAGGACGTCATAGATGCGAGGCAAAACAAATCTTAAACCGTCTCCTCTGTTTAGGGAAAGTTTGTGTTTCCTCACAAAAAGGGCTTCTTTCACCCCTCTCCCAAACCATTCAGTCTTATTGTACATGTTTTTAGTGGTAGGGGAAAGTGCAGCAACCAGAGAGAGACACAATCGAGGTATTTGTGTTGTTGTTTGGACGGCTGCTTTATTCACCGCTGAGCATACGCTGAACACCTGCATTCCAATTCTACGCATGGTCACATTTGTTTACCTTCAGTCTAGACCACCTGTTTAAAATATTTTCTACTTTGAATATTCCCTGGGAGATTTGTAATGTTTCATTTGACAAAATTTACGCTCGGCCTGGTTAAATATTCATGACAGCGGGTGTCTACGGTGATATTAATTAGAATCTGTTTACCCTCTGTCGGTATAAGTTAAGGAGTGTCCGGGGTTCTCTTCTCATTAGGCGGTAATACGTCTGGACAGGGCAGATGGCTGGCTTCGCTTAGCTCTGGATATACGAGGACTGCAGGTGTCGGAGGAACCTCGATCAATTTTTAGTGTGCGTTAAATCAGGTTTGTTTGTGAGGGATGAGGGGAAGGTGTGGCATGGTTTCAATTTGGCACTGCCCTTTGTGGATGGACCGGGGCTGGTGCCGAACTCTTTAAACATCAGTGTTTCCAACAGCAGAAACAGATGGTTCCAAAGTATGGAACAATACACCTGTTTATCTGTTTGGATTTTAGTTTAGTAAATGTAATAACATAATACTAACGGGGGGCGACAGTAGCTCAGTTGGTAGAGCATTGGCCTTAAGGCCAGTAGGTCGTGGGTTCAATTCCCACCTCTGCACCTTCTCCATCGACTCCCACTGATGACTGCTGTCGTTGTGTCCTTGGGCAAGACACTTAACCCCACTTTGCCCAAAAGCCCCCACTGAAAGATCAAGGCTATGCTCACACTCAGAGAGCAGCCGTCCTCCTGTGGACTCACCACCTGCAGAGGGGCAGTGAGGGGCTGGTGCTATGAGACTTGGGTGGCATCTCTGACTGCCACCCCCCTGACCCAGAAATGGATTAAAGGGTAGAAAATGGATGGATGGATGGATGGATAATACTAACGTTTCTCACTGATTTTCCTGACACTCACAAAGACTTTACAGTGATTCAAGTTTTTAATTTTTCCATTTTTGTTCTAAGATGTAGGTTATGTTGCTCAGTCTGTCATAATGTCAAGTTACGATGATCGTGGACAAAACAATTTGACAAAGTAGTGCTGATTATTGTAAGTAAAAATTTTCAAGATCAGAAAAGCATAGACGTAGAACAAGTTAGACAGGTTACAATAGCATGTACTCCCAAGTTCATATGTGCTTCAAGATGGTATAATGATGTTGATTTGATCATAAAAATCCAAAATAATATTTACATATGGAACAAACATATATAAAATGTTAAAACGAAAGCAACTTCACTGAGAATGAAAATGCTTCTGTGCTTGGAATAGATAAATAAATATAATTGTTCTGTTCTGTCATATACTTTACGTCATCGTCATACATGTCATATATTTTACTGTTTTATTTTTTTGTATTTATTTTATTATATTAAAGGGCTATTTTATTTATAGCCCTTCACAACACTCACGGCGACCAAACTGCTTCACAATAAAATTACATAAAATCCATTAAAACATTGATGCATTAAAACAATACACAGTTAAAAAACATTTAAAAAGTGTCACCTGCTAATGAGTGTTAAGTGTTAAAAGCCGGTCCGAATAAATACATATTGAGCCTCAGTGAAGACCGGCATGTCAGAGGGCAGCTTGTTCCAGAGTCTGGGTCCAGCCTTTTGGTTCATGTTTATTGTACAGTGGCCCTGTATAAATGAAATCCATCCCATACTCTACCATACTATATTTCAATTTTTACGTTCATGTTGTGACCTGAAATTAATTGTAGGATGTAGTGCCCTCTTTAAGATAAGATATTCCTTTATTCGTCTCACAGCGCAGAAATTTCAGTGTCATCGTTAATAGGAAATAAGAGAACTCAGATTGCACACATCAAATAGTCTGTAATTTAAGATAATAGACAATATAATAAGAATAAGATAAAGATAAAATAAAATAAACGCTGGAGCTATAATTGCACTTGGTTCAGGAGTATCTACAGATTTGCATATTGTTCTTAAGCAGCAGAGATAATGAGCAGAATAAACATCAGTAATAATATCAACAGGTAAAGTGATTGTTACTAGTGAATTATTATCAATGACACTTGTACAGACTTCTCGTTGTTTGGCCTCCCACATCCACTCGTGATCCTGTCAAAGCTAATGAAAACTGCAGCCTTTAATGCCAACCTCTCCGTGTGTTCTGTTGCAGGAGGCGTGACTACTTTTGTGGCTCTGTACGACTACGAATCTCGCACGGCCTCCGATCTGACGTTCAGGAAGGGCGACAGGCTGCAAATTGTCAACAACACGTAAGCTTCACTAACAGTGCGAGTCGCGAGTCCTTTTAGCATCAACAACATGCGTGAGTAAGTGAAGGAGAAAGGCCCAGACATGAAAACCCCTCCATCTGTCGCATTACGCAGCGTTGGCTAATGACCCGCTCCCATTTAGCTGCATTTGTCATCATATAATCTTCACACGATTACAGCAACACACAATTACCTCTGCACCGAGTCGCACATGAAAACAACTTTTGATGCCAGAAAGCTATTGGGACAAAGAGGAACTCATTTTGGGCATGGATTTCAAGACTTGCTCCTGAATATATACGCAGATGGTGGCAGATTTTAGAATTGTTTTGTTTACTATATGTGTTGTTTTTTTCCTAAATGATCTTTTTCCATATCTCCTGCTGTAATGTCTGCTGCTACAGTGTGTGGCCATGTAGTCGGGCTGGGCTGGTGATACAGGACATGGGTGATTATTTTGAAAAAACATATAACAAATAGTGCTGTCTGTTGCCAAAGGAATTGGAAAAGAACATGGATAACTGCCAAAATGTATTTTTCCAAAATGTTTCCAAGTACAAAAGTAATGTGTTGGCTACTTCCGTTTTGTGAAGTGGTTAAAAAAAAAAGTATCCATCCAATCTAATCCACCTAATAGAACACATTGGGTTAAATACACAAAATGCAAAACATGTTTAGTTTTGATTATTTCACGTGTATAATAATTTGTACTTGGCTGATTTTCCTCAAGTTAAAGTAAAATCAATAACATCAGAATTGATTTAATTGCCATTGTAAGTAACGTGCAAACATTATGTATTTATTATTTTATGAAAGATATAAATGCATAAACAACATTGTGTTTCTACTCTAAAAGGAAACACAACAGACTTTTACACTAAATATGTTGTGGTGCACCATGATCCATCTGTCTCAAAGCCTAAACTCTGTACCCAGGGCTGCGTTCAGGGACCCTGCCCGTGGCCCCGGCTGCCTGGCCCCTCACGCTCCCGTCTTGATGCTTTGCTCCTGTTTGGTTTGTTGCTTGCTGCAGTGTTTTGATGTGTGGCTCTGTCTGTCTTTCTCTCCTCCTGCCTCATGGTTTGGTTTCTCGCAGGAAAAAGTACTGCTTCAGGTCAGTAACACTCTACACCGTCAACTTTTCACACAACCTTTTGTTTACGAGCCGCTTTCTTATCTAAATATAAATATAAACGTACAGGGTTGGGTAGAATACTTTGTAAATGTATTCCATTCCAGAATACTGAATACATGACCTACAATATATTTTGTATAGTATTTGTTTACTTTGTTTCCAAAGTATAGTACCTGTATTCTGAATACTTGGAATTATTTTATTTACGCTTACATTTTTTGTCATCAATATGAATTTATTAATGAATGTTTATTTACAAAACGTATAAAGGTAAATTTCAAAATATTTAAAACCATAATCTCAATAAATGTTGAAATAAATAAAACCTATTCTGAAATTATTCAATTCAATTCTTTTTTTTTTTTAATATCTTAATAATGTAAGAAAGTAACTGTATTCTAAATACTAGAACTTTAAAGTAGTAACTGTAATGGAATACAGTTACTCAGAAAAAGTATTCTGAATAAATAACAGCGATACATGTATTCCATTACTCCCCAACCTTGTGTACATGTGTGTATATATATATTATAAATACTCGATACACTTCTGTTGTGGCGAAACAAAAAGTTGTGTTGCCTTCCATCTCTTGTGTGTGTCTTTGTGTGCACTTTAGCTGTTACATTATTTTCCTGTGTGTATTTGCCGGTCTTTGGGAGTTTTCAACTGTATTTTGGGACAACAGTCAGAGGTGGGTTAATATTGATAAAAAAAATCAAGGTCTTGATTGATTTTTGAAGGATTTTGATACAGATTTTGAAGGTCCTAGTGTGTACGTCATACTAAAGCTTGCCTCTAAATGTGTTGAGGTTTAGTATCAAAGAGAATTTTTTTAGTGTTTTATTTTTTTGAGTAGATTTTGTTCCTTAAAAACAACAATTGAGTGACATTTTTCAATATATTGCCCACCTCTCAAAGGCAGCATGCTAATTTGGATGATAACAAGCTAGTGATATTTTGAGGAATGGCATTGGACATTATGATTGTATTCATTGTTTTGAAGATTGAACCCAGAGCAGTCTGCTGCTAATCTCTTAAACTATACTACTATAAAAACAAATAGACACAATAAACGGCAAATAATACGTGTGAATTATTGAAGCATACCTTTCTTACATCACTACAGTTTTGCATGAGTAAATAAACTAGTCACATATTTAGGGATTGGTTGAAAAGAGTAAATAATGCTCCACATGCTACCAAATACACCTGCTACATGCTACCAAATACATATTCAACCAATTATTTGAATACAGATATCCCACGAAAATACACTTTTGAAAATTTGATTTCCGAGAGAAGTTGTTTGGCTTTGCTTTTTATTTAGTTTGGTCCTGAACCAACATTCTGTCATGGGTTTTATGAGTCATCCAACTTGTGTATACTATTAGACTAAATGATGAAAGAAATGTACTAACCCGTCTGAAATAAGCCTAATGTCTTTGTTGTAAAGAACCTTGAGTAGACTTTACGCAGTATGCTCGATGTCTTTATTTATATGTGGTGTTTTGGTCACAGAGAAGGCGACTGGTGGCTGGCCCGCTCCCTCACCTCTGGACAGAGTGGATACATCCCCAGCAACTACGTAGCTCCATCTGACTCCATACAAGCAGAAGAGTATAGCATTTCATTTTCTACCTCCAACACAACAAGATGTTTTAGGAAAAGGATTCTCAAACTGTCACTGTTCTGTGTTGCTATGACTGTGTGGCACTGGCATTTTGGCACAAATGAGCATTATGCATTGCTCTGTCAGAACATAAACAGCCAACTAACTTTGATGTCACTGATTTTAGAGCTGGTCTCCTGAATTTATCCTTCTCTAACTTGGTGCTGATTCTAGTTTAGTCCTGTTTTGTATTTCCCTGCTCAATTCCATCTATCCATTTTCTTCCCCTCAATCCATTTCTGGGCCAGAGGGTGGCAGTTAGAGCTACACCCAGTTCTCTGAGCACCAGCCCCTCACTGAGTCCACAGGAGGACGGCTGCTCTGTCAGTGACGACACAGGCCACAGGCTTGAGGCAATGTGGGGTTAAGTGTCTTGCTCAAGGACACAACGACAGCAGACATCAGTGGGAGAAGGTCTTGAACCCACAACCTTTAGGCTCAAAGGCCAATGCTCTACCAACTGAGCCACTGTCGCCCAGACCCTGCTCACGTCAATTCAATATTTTCTTTTATCGCCCTAAATCACAAAAGTCGTTATCGCAGAGGTCTTAACAAAACTGTTGAATTCGCCAAGGCAACGATAAGGGGCAGATGACCATAAAGGGTGAACAATGCCCATAAATGTTGTTGAATGTCAAGTTGAGTGCTCTTGCTGTATTTAGCCTCACTTTAGTCCTCCTATAGTCTACTTTAACCTGTACTTGGATCATTTGCACAAAGTACATGAATGTGACGACGCACCGACCCTGAATACTCCACCGGAGCATTTGCATGTGGCAGGCCGCACAGAACACTCACTCTTAGGTTAAATGCAGGCTTTGAGCTCACAGTGGCGCGTCTGTGTCTGAGCTGCCTCTCGTCTCTTCGGCAGGTGGTACTTTGGGAAGATCACTCGACGGGACTCGGAAAGACTGCTCCTGAACCTGCAGAACAGAAGAGGGACTTTTCTGGTCCGGGAGAGCGAGACCACCAAAGGTAAATAATATCACATCAACTTTATTGTCCCAAGGGAAATTTGCTGTGGGAGACAGTGCTACACAGATCTGAAATAAATGAAGAAAATAAAAAAATAAAAACAACAAATAAAATAAACAGGAAAGGGCAGTCATTTTTGTATGTATTTGCTCTCCATTAGCTGCATCAACATGAATGATGGGTCTTGGATGAAAAAACAATAATATAATGAAAAAGTCCATATAGTTGTAGAACGTATTCATTGTTAGTTAAATCTTCAGGTTATGACTGAGCTTAGTTGAGGAAATGGGTGGAGTCTGCTCTGCTCCTGCTGGGTCTGATAGAAAACCTGCAGCCACAGCGGCCCTTTCTGGACCGGTTTGGACACCTCTGGCTTAAAAGGCTACGACCGGCTGGCTGGTTTGCCAACAATTAAAGCTGGGGTATCGATCCTTTCTGTAGATTATACATGTTGTTTGTACTAACTTAAAGAAGCTTGTACAACATGCATCTAATTATTTTCCTTTTTGTTTCATCTTTTGTATATAAAGAAAGAGGCCCGTGAGAATCACTTTGGGCTGAGAGCTGATTGGCTAAATGAGGATAGTCTGTTTATGTCCATGAAAACTGATCCAAAGATGTGATGGAGGCCAAAAATACATACATAAAAACTAGCCATAGAACCAATCATTTTTAAAGCCAGAGATCCAGTGAGATGGATTTTTATTATTGTTCATTTTTTAAGAGGTTTTGTGATGTGGTTAAATGACACAAAGAAAAGAAAAAATAAACTGAATGGGTATTTTAAATGTCTAAACTAACATGCTTTGTGTGATCCTCAAGAACAAACTCTAGACTGTTTACATGTATTGATCCTTAGTTTAATTTGGCCTGTTTTACGCCTGGTATTGTCTCACTTTACATTACATTTTCTTTGTTCTGTTGCTGAAAACACGTTCGGGCTTCACTCTTCATAACAACACGATAGAAAATCAGCTCAGCCTCTAATGTGTGAATGGGGAAAGTGATGCAACTACCCACAATCCCCTGAGTGTATACTTCCAACGCCGGGTCTCTTAAGGGAGAGAGAGAAGAGGAGAAAAGAGGAGAAAATGGGGGAATCTGTTAATTAAGCTGTTAGTCTGTTTTTGACACACGCCTTTGGCACTTCATGTTTTGGGCTTGTCTTCTCGAACAAAACCTCATCTCAAGTTTGTAAAGTCTCCGGAGAACACGGGAGATGACCAGATTTCTTCATATTTAAATAGCACTTATATAATTATTGAAGGTTTTGCTGTTTTGGTTTCTAACTGGCCATCCAATGTGAAGCCATTTCAAAGGAGAATTAATTGTCAATTCATTCAAAAATCAAAACTCGTCTCCTAATATGATTCAGTAAGCTATTAACGACTTATTAACCGAGCAAGCGAGGTTAATAAATGTTTTATGACTATTTTTAATTTATGCAAATATTGATCTCCGACTTGGTTTTCCTAATCGTGTTTTTAGCTTTCTGATCTTTAACGAAGTTGTCAATTTCTTCTTGACTGTTTATGTTTTCGTCGTTATTTTCTGTATATACTTCCTCTGGCTTCGAACTCGTCTGGATAATAGAATTCACTTGGAGAATTCTCCCAGTCGTTGCCCATTAGACACCCAGTATACATAGCAGCAGCAGCAGCATAGTTTTATCCTTTTCATCAACATTTTATGGCGTTCCAACTATCTTTTTTCTATTTGTTTCTGCTTTATTTCTTTTTTGAAACGTACTGAGTAGATGGGTAACTAGGTCGAGTTGGAGGGGTGCTGTCTCCCCGTGGCTTCAGAGAAAGAAAGTGGGAGAAGTGGGCGGAGCTCTGGCAGAAGGTTAGTGGGGCCCTAGGGTGCCATCTGTAATAGATATGAGAGATACATGAGAGAGAATACAAGTCGATGTGAAGTGTGCGGATCTGAGGGGGGCACCGTTTGACCCATTTCAACTCATCAGAAGAACATACACAAGGATTGAACAAGTTTGAAGTTTTGTTTGCCTCTGTGCAGAGATCACATCATCAGCCTTAGTCCTGCTTTGTACATTGTCTGTTTCTTTCTGAAGCTCAAATGTCTTGGTTCTTTTGGTTAACTACGAGTAACAAGGTTGATATGGGTAATATTCCATTTCATTTTAACGTTAATTTTTTTATTTTATTGTGGCAAATCACAATAAACTGGTGAACACAATCTTTGCACATTTAACGCATGAAGTTACTTATTTTTATTGATTTACTCCAAAACCAGCATTGACATAATTTGACAAATAGAATGATACAATATATTACAATATCCAAGGTTTGGAGATACTATGAGGGTAGTATACAATAGGGTTGGTCGTTATACATTACACCTGGTTCAAAAAGCTGTATTTTGTTTGCTTTCATAACTTCAACTTGATATAAGTCTGTGTATTTTGTCCAATCCAAGACCACTATAAGAATGTGAAGTTCCACGACCCCCTCTCACTTTCGCTGGCACCTGTTTACTCTGTGTCACACGCCACCCCCCAGGGCAGGTCGTCTCGTGGCGGTGTCCATTACTGGGGTCAGTGGGGCTTTTCCTCCAGCTGTCTGCGGCGGGACGTCCCACCAAGCAGCTGCCGCCTCGGGGATGAGTCCTGCTCTACGGCCCCCTTCCTCACCCCCCTATCCCATGTGTGTTTGTACTTCCAGGAGCGTACTGTCTCTCCGTGCTGGACTACGACAACACCAAAGGCCTCAATGTCAAACACTATAAGATCAGGAAGCTGGACAGCGGGGGCTTTTACATCACCTCCCGCACACAGTTCTCCAGCCTGCAGCAGCTCGTCTTCCACTATCGCAGTCAGTATCACAAAGGAACACGCTCTTTGGAACATGTGTACTATGAGGTGCAGGCAAAAGGGTGCCACAATGCCAGTCCATAATGCATAATGTATAAGGATGTAACAAGTCAATTATAGAATAGAAATATATTCACATAGAAATAAAGCTTATTTAGTTTAACTGGCTAAAGGGTTGACACACAACACACATTTATATTTAAACAGTGAAAAGACTGTTATTGATGATTAGTGTTTGTAATGTATGCATTGTTTGTCACAGGAGTGCAGCACATCATATATAGTTCAGGGGGAATTGTATTTGTTTGTTAGTGCGAGTACAACGAATGGAAATTAGCTCAAGGCTCTTGTGTATTTACAGAACTGCCGTTCATGAAATCATAGTAAACATCCAAATAAACAAATGAATGAAATAAATAGACATCGGAGTGCAGCTTAGATTGTAGCACAGCGATAGAAGCACATTGGAGTAGTCAGACGCAGAAGTATGACCTGGCCTTCAAGCATCAAGGTTATTCACTGAAAACGATTATAAAAGCCTTTGATTATACTGTGAGCCTGTTACAGAAGCAGTTATAGTTTTAATCAATAACCCCTTCTCTTTCCTCCAGAGCACTCTGACGGCCTGTGCCACGCCCTCACAGATGTGTGCCCTGTGTCCAAACCCCAGACCCAGGGCCTGGCCCGGGACGCCTGGGAGATCCCCCGAGAGTCCCTCCGGCTGGACCTCAAGCTGGGGCAGGGCTGTTTTGGAGAGGTCTGGATGGGTAAGGACGACTGCTGTTGCTTCACTTTTTTGTCAACTGTCTTTTCATGGGACCGACATGACAGCAGTTCACTGCAAGCTGCAGACTTTTTATTCTTTTTGTGCCAAAATGCTCATCTTACACATACCACAAATCCTGAAGAAAGATTCTCCAATGAATGTGCTGTAATACATGATGCTGCATGTGTGGTGCCCAGGTACCTGGAATGGAACGACGCGGGTGGCCATAAAGACCCTGAAGCCGGGAACCATGTCCCCTGAAGCGTTCCTGCAGGAGGCACAGGTCATGAAGAAGCTGCGGCACGAGAAGTTAGTGCAGCTGTACGCTGTGGTGTCAGAAGAACCCATCTACATCGTCACAGAGTTCATGAGCCAAGGTCAGAGAGCCTATTCTGATGTTCTGCAAATATTGCAAATACTGCAGATACTGCAGATACTGCAAATGCATACTGAGAAGTCATGGAAGATTAGAATAAGACTCTGATGCATCCAAACACCACACCACCATTTGCAACATTCACGAGTTCTGGAGGTAATGAAAGCATTTCGCTCTTTTACAGGCAGCTTATTAGACTTCCTCAAAGGGGATGCTGGGAAAATGCTCCGTCTGCCTCAGTTAGTCGACATGGCAGCTCAGGTAAGAACAGACGCTCATCAAGCCTATTGAGAACATTTTGTGGAGTAATGGATTTGTGACCGGTAAGAGTTGGACAGGAGCCAGGAGTGTGATATATATGGCTCTTATGTCTCCAGTCATCTGAAAGAATCTACTGATGCTGTTTATCATTCCAGTTTCTGTATAAATATAAACAACCGCAACTGCCAGAGGTTGTTATAACAAGGATGAAAGATTTGTCAAAGAGCAATTTTTGGTCTGATGCAAATGAACTTGGAACAGTTCCAATTGCCTTCAATACACAAGAAATGTTGTTTATTTGACAATCATCTTACACAGTTATAAATAGATATAATATATATCTAGCATTTCCATGGACTCTGGCAGGTGATAATCCACCTCCAATAAGTCACGGGCTCTCACCTTAAAAACTCCAACAGAATCATTCGTTCACAGCAGGGGTCTCAAACCAGTTCCAGAGAGGGCCAGTGTGACCCTCAGTAGGAGAACCAGGATCTGCCCATATCCTCAAATCCTCAGGTTAAAACTGGACTCACCTGAGGAACTGGGCAGAGTCTGGTGTGCTCCTGCTTGACATGGAACTGAAACCTTAAGGACCGGTTTGACACCCCTGGTTTATAGACATGAATTACAAATTCTGTTACTTATTTTTCATGCAGTATTTAAGATATTCAGGGCTAAAGTACTAAATTATCTAAGCTTTTTTTTTATTATGTAATGCATTAAACACAGGATGCTTCTAATTTGGAGCTGCTGAGAATGACATAACGGCATGCCTTTAATAAATGTTCATCTCCCTGCCTGAGTCCAGATTGCCGCCGGAATGGCCTACGTGGAGCGGATGAACTATGTGCACCGAGACCTGCGTGCCGCCAACATCCTGGTGGGGGACAGCCTGGTGTGTAAGGTGGCCGACTTTGGCCTGGCCCGGCTCATCGAGGACAACGAGTACACCGCCAGGCAGGGTGAGTCAGCAGCCACTGTACACCTTTTCACCGTTCTAGCTTCAACCAGTCATCCACGGTAATGCTAGCTCTAAATTCTCCTCATCACTCATTCTCACAGAGAGTCTTATAAAGAGCATAGGTTTGACTGGCTCGCATTTCCTTTCTTATTGTGATGTACTGTATATCATGTGAAAAAGTAATGTTTTCAGAAACTTTTAACTCTTACTACTACTACTACTGCTATTACTACAAACAAATCTAAAACCAAGATTTTGATAAATGTTTGTCAGAAAGTCTGCTCATTTTGATAGTCTTTGAACCTTCTGTCTGCAGGAGCAAAGTTCCCGATTAAGTGGACCGCACCCGAGGCCGCTCTTTATGGCCGTTTCACCATAAAGTCCGATGTGTGGTCATTCGGAGTGCTCCTGACTGAACTGGCAACGAAAGGCAGAGTTCCATATCCAGGTGTGTATGAAGAAATGTACATATATCTGTAGAAGGAAGAAACAAGAGTGGCCCGTAAATAGCGAAAACTAACCGAGTGCGGGTAGCCGATGAGAGCTAATTTAAACAGGCTCCATTAGCGGAGATCTGGAGCCAATTTTGTATTTAGCAACGACTTGTCAACCACAGAGCCCATCAGGAGCGCCGTTAGGCTGTTCCCACTTGTGCTACTAAATCCGGCGACAGAAGGCACCTGATTGGTTAGTAGTTTTGGCTCATATGTGGAAAACAATATCAAGATCAATATACGAGGATCATACCGAGCGTTAAACCACAGATTTTGAATCCCGGGTGGCAGTGTGTGGCACGAACTGTTGCAGAGTAAAATGGTGTAAAATAGGTGAATAGGAGACGGAAAGAGTAGGGGCAAAACTTTGTCCATGAGTGGTTTTTAGAGCAAGCAAAGGCTTTCAAAATGTACTGGAATCAAGATAAAATTAAGGTATTTGGATTGTTTGATATTGGCCTTTCATTTATTTTTATTTCTATTGTTAGCTATTTTTAGTAGGATCTATTTATTTGTTTTGTTTGTATGGATGGATACATTTCTGCTGCTACTAGGCACTTGAATTTCTCCTACAAGGATCAATACATTTCTTTCTTCCTTTCTTTCTTTCTTTCTTTCTTTCCTTGCTTCCTTCCTCTTTCTCATTCTCACTCTCACTCTTACAGCTAATTTACACTGTAGGCGTCAACAGCGCGTAAGTGTTGACTACGCGCATATGCGCCTAACATTACTTGGCTGTATGTCCACTTGCTGTGCGCGCAGGTCCGCGGCTTTTGAAGCTCTCCCTGTGTAGTCTATGGAGCAGTGTAGAGAACAGTACGGGGCAGAGGGCTGAGGTAGAACAGCACAAATCACATGTATGTGTTTGTCTTCATGGTCTCTGTGCGCTGGTCTGACCAGACTCGAGACTTTATGAAAGAAAAAAAATACAATGTCCAGAATCACTGTAAAACCTGCTGCCTCTGCGTGCGCGTGTGTGTGTGTGTGTGTGTGTGTGTGTGTGTGTGTGTGTGTAGATGCGATCTAGAGCCAAGGACCGCTAGAATCATGTTTCCTATGTGTTTTGACTAGGAGACGTGTTGCTGCACGCACAGAATTAGAAATCCATTCTAAAGTAGGCACAGCCTCGCGTCATACGTCCGTCATACGTGCGTATAACTCTAGTGTAAATATCCCCATTGGTTTACATGTAAAAATATTACGCGTGTCTGCTGCGCGTCTAACGCGTACGCGCCTTTTGTGTAAATTAGCTGTCTCACTCGCACTCACTCACTCTCACTTTCCACCCTTTCTGGTAACTACATGGTGTCATTCACAGGCATGGTGAACCGCGAGGTGCTGGACCAAGTGGAGAGGGGCTACCGCATGCCCTGCCCGTCGGAGTGCCCCAGCTCTCTGCACGAGCTCATGCTTTCCTGCTGGAGGAAGGACCCGGAGGAAAGACCCACCTTCGAGTACCTACAGGGCTTCCTAGAGGACTACTTCACCTCCACCGAGCCTCAGTACCAGCCGGGGGAGAACCTATAGACCCCTGACCCATCTGCATTCCCCCCACCCCCCAAAAAAGTCCCACTCACCAGAACGATGTGCACTAACTAACCTCTGAGGATGTAAAACCAGGAGAATTCTGGAAGTCCTCTCCGTGCCATATACAGAGACAAGACAATTTAGCATTTAACGAAGCGCCTCCATCATGTCCAGACAGTTTGGGGAGGCTACAACGCCGTGGCTTTAAAAGTAGAAAAAAAATAAGAAAAAAACTGTTTGCGGATATATTTTTTCTGACGCAAACGGTGAATCGGTGTGAAGGAGGGACGCGGGACAGTTTTAAAAATAGAAGTGAAACGATACACACCGCCACTAATGGTACAGGTCTCTCGGAATTCAGATTTTAAAGCATTTCTCAATCATTTCTTCTCAAGTGCTGCTTCTCCACGTCGACGTCTCCAACTAACTGCATTTTTGACAACGTTTCTTCAAAGGCCATTGTTATTTTTGTGATATTAACAGGTTTGGCCACCATTCAGCTAGTGCCGGGTACATGCAGTTTCTCCCGTCAGTTTACCGCCCCAGCCTGTAACTCTATGAATGCTGGATCTGACATTAAATATTTTGAGCAGGTATTCTTTGTACTGCTTTTTTATTTATTTTTGTTCTCTTTCTTTCTAACCTTAGATAAACGCTGACAATAGCACTGCAGTGGTAGGTAATGGTTGGGGTGAGAAATCTTTCATTTTTTTGATGTAGGCTCTCTACCAGGAGCGAAAACCATATCTTACTGTGTGTGCCAAACACTCTCAATTCTTGGTTCGTGTATATAATGTTTTGATATTTTGTGGTCTATTTGAGGCCGCGGTCCAATGTTTCCGAATCAATTTATATTATTTATTACTGGTTTTTTAGCTGGTACCATTTTGATTTGAAGTCTATGCATATGGGCACTTGGAAAACATTAATATATACATCATATTTGAAAACCGTTGCTTGTTCTTAAATCACTGACCATATGTTTTTTTAATTCATTTTTTTATTTCAAAACAGATTCAGATTTCTTTGATTTAGAAAATGACGCTGGAAAAAATTTTAATGCTTTAATATCTGCAACCTTTTATGACTGAATTTGTTAATTTATTTAATCAGTCTGAAAATAATAATGTTTAAAAAAATTACAATATAAATGACAATATATCATTTATTTATAATTTTTTACTAGATTTTTAATGTGTTTTACCTCCAATCTGTTCATATGAGTAGACTCCCTTCAACATGGTACCATAGACCGGCTGAATATTTATGCTACTATTATGCAACCAGGCTGTCCCACTGAAACTGTAAAGGTCCATATCAGGTAATCCTAATATACTGTGTCTAGGAGAGATGTTGTTAGCCAGTTAGCATGCTATTGTGCCGTTAACCATTGGCCAATTTTGTATTTATGCTGTGCTTTTTTTTTACATCCATCTATCAGGTGAAGAGAATCGACACCGAATCAACATATCGTACAATCCGCTCTAGAGTTTAGTTTTTGCACTCCAATCACTTATCACTGTACATAATGGTACTTTTAATCAAGTCTGATTGCACCCAGACTGCACCACGTTTAGATTTATGTTCGGATCAACGCCTAAAGTCGCGGGTCAAGTTGATTCTGCAAACCTATGAGCGAAAAAAAAAATAATAACAGCCACGCAGCAATACATAAAATCATTCACCACAAAAGCTGTACAATGCAAACTAATGAACTAATTAATTACTAATATAGATGCAAAGAGGATTTGAGAACGGCAAAGCTGTAAATAATGTGGAAAAATGACTGTGATGATCAAGGTATTATTATTTATTTATTTTTTATTTTTTTTGCTCCCCTTCAGAACACCTCCACATTGGATTCTGCTTTTTTCCCCCATTTTGATATTGGGCTCACTATAAAATGCATATTCTGCTGTACTCATTAGCCACTGTGACTTTGATAATTGGCCAACCAGTTTGCAGCATCAAGCTAGCTATCATTTGGTTCAGTGATATAGGTTTGCCCCATGAGCCGGCTCCTAATGAACCACATTTGTTAATTGGGACTTTTAATGATCATATATTTTGATCGGATTGAGTCGTTACTGACCCAGACTTAAAACTTAAAACTGTTCACTTCCATTGTTTAAGCCCCTTCCTATCCAAATTGTTTATAGACGTGCATTATTGTTGTAAAGTCTAAAAGACATGAACACATTTGTGGTGGGTAAACAAATAATACCTTTTGTATTTAACGGTATCTTAGTTTCTCCAAATGACGGCTGGTTAGGCTGTTATTAACACTGTTTGGTTTACTATATTTTACTTTTTATAATGTGAAAGCCCACTCTGGACAAAGCTAGGACTTGTAAAAAAGTGTTGGCTTTTTACTTATCCACTTACACATAGTTACAATCACACTATATTGCAAAGCGGTAGACTAAATATCTGTTTTTAGACATATTTTTTAACTTAAATATTCACAAGTATTACATATAAACACGTGCAGATGATCTATTTTCAAATCAGGCAACATTTTCCGAACATGTTACTCACGTTTGTTCCTTTTTTAGTCGGGGAATACACTTTTGTCACTCAATGTATAAGTCACAGGGCGTATTGTGGAAGTGGCTACACTCAAAACAAAGAGCAAAAAAATAAACGCTTATTTTAAAACATAAATGTGTTTTGGGAAATCTATGCAGTTCCGCTTTGGCATCCCTGCAACATTACGGCAATTTTGTTCAAAAAGTCAAAACGAAATTGTTATAACAAAAATGGTGTGTGTTAAAGCCTTTTGTAAGGACTTCTTTTTGCTTTGGTTTTTGGTGTAACAGAACTGAAAATGGGTATTGTGCCACTTTATGTTGATCTTTAAATGTGCAATAAATTATATTTGAACTGTGTTTTGATAAGAGTGAGTGCTGGTGTGGCTCCTGTCCTTGAACCTGTGTCACTAAAAGCATTCATCATGTGAAGTGCTGATCCAGAGAGACGTTTGGGGCCGTCTGCTGTGATTGGAATCTTAATGGAGGGTTCTGCTGCGTTAGTGGCTCCATCTGCTGGGAAATGAACACATGTAAAAAACAATGCACACACATGGAGGATGCATCTAACAATTATTTTGATCTTGTATTCGTTTTTTAGAAGCCAGTATGATATTAGTGAAACATTTCAGTCAGTTAAAGCTGAAGTGAAGCCACCAGAGAACAATCTACTGATATTCTAAGATTTTTAATCACATTTCACAATCCTGATGTTGGAGTTGGAGTCCAAACATGTCTTTGGTTTTTACAAAAGAATTTCAGAGTTGAATTAACACTGATTTTGATACATACAATACACCAAGGGCTGAGGAGCTGGACAGGGCCTGGATGGTGATGTGACAGTATAGTAAGTAAGAAAGTAATGTTTATTTATATTGCCCATTTTACAGACCAAGGTCCCCCAAAGCGCTGTACAATGTTCAGATATTGTTTCAATCATTCCACACATGGTGATTACAGAAGCGAGTCGCCGAGCACACTGGACCATCAGCCCCCAATCAACACCATCCATTCACTCTCTCATTTACATTCAGTATAGTGCCTGTGGTGATCTATGACCTCGGGGCAGTGACCTCCAAACTGGATCAGTGTCACAGAAGATCCCAGGAACAACTGTTGAAATCAGAAATGTGCTTATGCACCACATGCCCACTTCCTTCCTGGTGCCATTCTCTGGCCTCAGAACTTGACCTCCCACAGCAGTGATTCATAATGAACAAAGGAAATCACCTTTAAGCTCTACAGTACAAGATTATCATGACAACTCATGATACGCAAGGGAATGAAGAATGCAAAACAAATTCACCTCTTCATTCAGAAATTGAGAAATGATCCTCATTTCATTGTGCTTGTCAGTTAATGATAAACATATTCACAACATTTGGAAACTGAATAATGAAGATTTATTGTAATGGGTATCTGTCAATGGAGTATGTTATTGTGTTATTATCATATTAATAAATGTAACGTTTAGACTAGTGTGGATCTAAAAACTAGTAGTATTGATCCAGGCAGGGTGAAGAATGTGCGGAGTCAACCCCCAGCTATTATACACAGGAAGTTAGATTAAGGCAAGGACCAGAAAACATCTGTTATAGCCTCAGGCTTACTTTGAGAGGGGCTACTGTGTGTTTTGGAGAAAGGAGCTATTGTGTTCACCTAAGGATGGTGAGACATGTGTTTTCAATTATCATGTCATGTGACTGTGTGCTTTTCATCGATAGCCTGTCTTGAAACAGGGTCTTTTGCTTTGGAGTTGCCAGGGAGCAGGGCCCGGACTGGAGCACCAGTCTGACACTAGCCTGTAATCTGTATTCTGTCTTTTTATATATTAAACCTTTTTTATATATCTAAGCAGAATTTGTGGTCCATTTTTCATCGAAGGAGAAACCGTGGCTGAACCAGCGTTAACAGTATCGAAACAAAGCAATTAAGTAGAATATTGTAATAGAGAGTCAAAATAAGTCTTGAAAACATTGATGCATCAATCAATCATTTTTTTGCATAGCACAAATTGTGTACATGGCAATTCAAAGTGCTTCACAAGAAAAATCAAAAAGCACAGATCAAAATGCATTCAAAATATAATTATCTAAATATTAAGATAAATCAGTTTAAAAGTATGGGGTTTAAAACACATTAGAAAGTAGGTTTAAAAAAAAAAAAACAATAAAAGTAATAGGTAGTACGAAATATAATTAGTCAGTTGTATGCACAGCTAAAGAGATATGTTTTCAGCCTAGTTTTGAACATGGTCAGGGTAGAGGCCTGTGTCACAACCTCAGGAAGGCCGTTCCATATCCTAGCTGCAAAAATGTAAAATATTTCATCCACATCTTGCTTGTTGGAGTTAATCTTATGTTAATCATGTAATACACTATTTGTTTCTTTTTTTTTACCTATTCAAAGAAAGTGGGTAAATCATTCACTGTCATACTGTGCTACAATCTGATGCCTCACATAGCCTGGTCG